CATGTTCCCGCAAGTAAATGAAACAACCGCATAAATAAATCAACAATGTATATATACATATAAGTCAGACATCACATACACAATGTGCCTAAACCCTAAACGGCCCTAAACCCTAAGCCCCTGTGAGTTCCAAAATCCTGAGCCTGGAGCCTAAAGCCTCAACATCCTTCAGCCCCATAAGCCCTACAACCCTGAACCTGAAGTTTAAGCACTAAACCAACCTCAACCCCAATCCAAAAAGAAGAAGCTATGAGCACCATAAGCCCAGAACCCTTAAGAGCTCCGAAAGCTCCTCGGGAGACTCGCACTTCTTTGGCCCACTCACCGACTCAAACTGCGTCTGGGTCTGTGATTTATAGAAGGCCTCAGTTTAGGGTTTGAAAGGTCTAGGAGGATGCTTAGACATTTTGCACGGGTTAGGGCGTGAGGCCTTGCCAATGCTTCTTCCAGCACGAACAATCTCATGCGCCAGTGCGCATCTTGTCATGTTACTTTTAAAGGAGATTCTGGTTCAGACCGTGACTGCACTTGTGCATAAAGTCGTATCATTCAAGTGCGTCGAGGCCGCATCTGCACCTCCGTATATGCACTTGCCCCTGGGAGCAGGCGACGCCTGGTGCAGAAAGGGTGGGTTGCAGGCACTAAGACACTAAAACGGGAGCACCTTGTCAGAAAAGGATCTAAGGATAGGGTGTTGGAAGTCGGGTCTTGCCTGAAGACTTACACCATCTTGCATCATTCTGTTCTGTGCAACTCTGCGGGTGCTGGACAGGGGTCAAGCAAAGGACTCGCTTGCGGTGGCGTCCTGAGTCTGTACCCAGGTCCACCTCACGCATGTTGCGCACTCCTCGCAAAGAAGCCGGTGGCGACGTCAACGCATGGGCGCTTGGAAACTGTTTTGTCACGGCTTGGTTTTCTAGGAACACTCTAAGCCCTGAACCGAACCAAACTCCAAGGAAGGACTGTATAAAGGTTTTGCAGGCTTTCTCCAGAGACACTCTAACCCAAGTTGCGAAACTTCGTTGGCTTCACAAGAAACCAGGTGCCTGCCATGAACGTATGCCTTGCACCTGCTTGTCGATGATCTGCTGTGATTTTCCACAGCAAGAGTGTACCCACATCACAAACTGAACTAACACCTGGCACGGATATATGGGGGTTTGCGGCCATCACAGGATTCAGGGTCTGCGCGCTTTACAATCGGACAGATGGGAGTCACATGGGAGACAACAGTCCCACACGGGCGTCGCCGCATCCAGCGCCGAGACAGCAGGAGACAAAGGTAAAAGTTTCAGAGCAGCGCCGTGGCGAATCCAAATGAAGGTCACAGATTCCCATTCTTTCAACAAATGATCACTTCTTTCCCAAAGTGTCTGTTTGCTGGGCATACCCACTCTGCTACGCCTAGAAGTGCCAAGGAGGACAAGCAGATTCGCCTTATCTTGCGTCACAGTACAATCACCGGCCTGAGAGGCCGCTGGCCCGCTGGCCGCTAGATCAACACATTTGGGTGCGCAGCGGTGTGCATCGGCAAATCCATTGTGATACCAATCATGTTATTCCCGACGTGCAATACCAAACATCTTCCTGCTGGCGGATCAGAAGAGCACCAGCAAGTGCTCGACCCATCAGGGTGCCTACGTAATGCAAAAGTATACCGAGATTCCTCCTCTGTTCTACGTTTCAAAGGAATTCTTCTTTCTTTTGGACCTTCTTTGAGCGAGGTTCTACAGAGATCAGAATAAATCCGGGTACAGTCGGTATCCTTCAGTGAGGTTTTGCCATGTGCGATTTTGAGGCATTGGCACACGTTTCAGGCTAACATTAGCAAACCGACCAAACACTTGACAGTTTTGCGAACGCTTTCGAATCTTCTTGTCACCTGCATGACCTGCATAGAGACTTGCAATAAAACGTATCAAAAATGAAAGAATATGGGCTGCCGGTCTTCTCGCTCGGAAGAATCTTGTCTTCAAGTACGTGTACAAGGTTCAATTCTGCAGGCTCTGAAAGATTTAGAACTTAACATGGTTTCAACTTTAGACCCTGAAACACAGAACTCGAAAGAGATATCGTAGCGTTAGCCTGCTACATGTTGGAACCTTCTCAATTGAAGGTTCCAGCATGTACTGCACCGGTGTAGCCGGAGAGGGAGAGAGAGAGAGAGAGAGAGAGCGAGAGAGAGCGAGAGCTCTCGTCGAGAGCGAGAGCGAGAGCGAGAGCGAGAGCGCGAGCGAGAGCAAAACCGGGAGGAGCGGGGGGGAGGGAGAGAGATGTCACGTTCTGTATAAAGGACTGAAGGACACCCGCCCTATATACAGGTGTGTGTTTGCTTCTGATCATCGGTACGTATATATACATATATATATATATATGTGCAGATCTCAAGGGAGAAAAAACATTCCCACCCGCAAGGGCAGCACTTTCCTGGACGCCAAGAACCTGAAGCCAAACAAAGTAAAGCAAAAGACCAAGCCGGCTGCTCCTCGCAAGAAGCTTGGCACTCCATCGCCGTGAGGACCTCCCTTTCAAACTCCGGGCAAAGCCCCGTCCTCCAAACTCGTGGCGATTAACCAACCTGAACCCTAAACCCTGACTCGTCCAAGGGTTTAGTGTAGGGCGTCGTGTTTAGGACATGCTCCCATATGTTCCCCACGTTTGCCGTGGAGCTGTTGCAGCCAAGTGCCACGATAACTGTCAACATATATGCAAGTCGGGGTGCAACGCTTCTTCGAAGCAGTGCGCTGTAAACTCTTCTCAACTAACGGAAACTTGAGCTATGAAGCATCAAAGCCAGCCAAACATGAAAAATGGCACAACAGGGCCAAACGTCACATCTGCCGCCAAACGAGCGGGATTCTGTCGGTTTTGCGTTACATATCTTCATCCTACAGAACGCTGTAATGAACATGATGTACCAGACATTAGAAATTAGCGTTGACATGTGCTTCGAAAAACCAGACAAACGCAGAAATACATGCACACCACAACTCACCAAAACCGTGATATACTGAATATGTGATTAGAAGATGTCTGAACTAGTTATGTTGTCAATTTCTTCTCCTTTCAGGTACATGTATGTAGTACGTGTTCCATATGCACATATCTCTTTACGAAGCGGCGCTGCCTATTCATCTGCCATAGTCCTCATGGTTCAGAAAACATCCAAAGCTTGAAGTTATATAAAGCGACACTGAGCTTTGCGAAGTGCCTCATGCAGACACGCAATGGCTCCGAAAACACATATGACCCAGCGGTGCAATCCGTGATTGGGTCTCGGGGAAAGTAACAGCATCGGGCGAGAAGTACTATCCATTGCGCCAATACTTCCATGAACAAGGAAACCTAAACCCTTCAGACCATTGTCTTCGGAAGGCGCGGAAAAATCACAGCGGCCCCTGGCTGCAACCAGCGCTTGTTAGACTCGCAGAAACATGGCTAGAAAACATTTTACCCCCAAAGCAAAGGCTTGGCAAGGCACCTTTCTGCCGGAAGCTCAGAGCCATAGGAATAGCACCACTCCTGAGCAGATGGAAGAGAGCTTGGAGCATTATCCCCCCGGGGGATACTTCTGCAGATCTTTGCAGTGTTCCAATGGTACAAGGTGGGGCAGTTTCAAAGCCGCAGCATGAAGTCCCTTCGTCTCTTTTCTACTGCACGGCTAAGGACATTCCTTCTTTGGTGGGTGCTCGGTTATCACGGACTTCCACAACAAAAAGTTCGTATGTGTATGTATCATAATGTATCTATATAGATAAACTTACGTATCTATTTATTCATTCATTTTGTCAGTCATTTGCTTTCTTTACCCTCGCTCTTCTTCTTCTTCTTCTTCTTCTTCTTCTTCTTCTTCTTCTTCTTCTTCTTCTTCTTCTTCTTCTTCTTCTTCTTTTGCAGGGCCTAACGGGGGTGACCCCCACCACTCTCTCTCTCTCTCTCTCCCGCTCTCTCGTTCCGACCTACGGCCTAGATTTGTGCTAAGACTACTTGTTGAGCAGGAACTTCGACTCTGGCTTGCCAAAGAAAGCTGTTGGAGATTCTTTGGAGCTTTGCTGCCTTTGCATGCTTCTATGTTGGTCTTGAATTGCGCAGAACGTCAGGACCAGGATCCCCGACTCAAAAGACATGAGAACCCTTTGTCGGTCAGCGCAGCGCAAAAGAAACAAAGCGTGCAACGTGAAAAATTGTTTCTGAAAAGGAGCATTCCAAAGGCTTTGAAAAAATGTTGAGCAGCAATCTGCGCAAGTTGAAAAGCGTGTAGATTTGGATTGCCGTCCCTTACATGCTGATTTTTGCATGCTTCCACTATCTATGCAAAAGCTTCATACTTAAACCCAAAGCTCAAGCGCAGTCTTGCCAAAGCCACATCCCAAAGCCCAGTAATGACAACACCTGGCAAGGATCGGCTCCCTTTCGTGCTTCGACGAAGGCTTGTTCAACTTGGCCGTTGAAGTCGTTCCTGGCATGTATGCAGCGAAAACCACCTGTGCGCTTCTCTGGCGCCCGCTGTAGTCAAGATACGTGTGCACGCGCCTTCAAGTTGCGAAGACCTTAATAATGAGCTTCAGTACCCCCGACGAGCACTTCTAGCTCGAGCGCTCGTCGTGTCAATCGCGCAGCAATGACCCGAGAAGGGGGGGTGGGGCAACATGCCGAGGAAACTCTTGGATATCCTTTACCTTGTCGGCATCGAACAGCATGCCTCAGAACAGAAACTTTAAAAGGGAGCTTCGTGGGGCTCGGTCGCGAACCTGCAGTGAGCATGTGCTCCACTCCTTCACCACTTTCTGGCGCTCTCAGGAGGCTAGACAGGCACGGCATCTGCTCAGAGGCTCAGGGAGTTCTGGGCGAGTGGCCGATCAGAGATTCCATGTCCAGAGGCAGCCAAGGCAGAGCATCCTGCCTCGGTACCCCCGGCTTCTGACGCAAAGGCTTTCGCGCGTCGCCCAAGAGGCTTTCGTGCAAAACGAACGCAGTCTGCCGCAGTCTGCCGCAGTCTATCAGTAAAGCGGCAAGACCTCTTTTACCTTCGTCTCGATGGGCTTGAAGATCTGCTTCAGCAACCTGGGTGTGGGCGAGCCAAGCTCCAGATCTATCGACTTAGGGTTGAGGAATTAACGGAGTTATAATTATAGAGCTTTGGAGCTTGGACTTGGCCATCAATTCAATCCAGCAACTTGTTGAAAGGCTTGAGGGCAAAGTCGAATATGTCCTGCGCAAGCAGTCCCATGACAAGAATTCTCCCGGCCCGATGCCGTCCTTACAGTTTTGGGTATACACGGCCATGCGGTTTACAAAGTTCATGAATCACGTGCGGCGTTTTGCCTCGAGGTCGAGTCCGTTCCAGGCGTTTCGGTGTTGTTGCTTCAAGGCTTTAGGGCTGGGCTCCTGTACGAAACATATCAGCGGCTGTTAGAAGGTTTCCAGAAGTAAGACTTGCCGGCTTGAGTATAGGATTCGGGAATTAGGGGTGGAGGCTGTTTTCTCCTAGGTGAGGTTTGGCGTTTGTGGCTCGGGGTTTGGCTCCGGTTTAATTAGGGTCGGCAGGGTCCTTTTGTCCCAGGTGCGGTTTGGCTTGGCTTGCCAACTTTGGTGTGCAGCCTCCCCTCCCCCCCCCCCCAAGTTTGCAAGCAGAATGATCCGAGGATGAGCACAAGGATGAGTCGGCCACATCTCCTTTCTTCTTCAAGCTTTGGGTTGCAGACCCAGCGAATCGCAAGCAGAACAATGCAGGCATGCCGTCCATTTGCAAAATGCAAAGAATAATCATTGGTTTCCATTGCAAAACGGGAGCCGGGGGGGGGGGGGGGGGGTGTCCATTTGCAAACGAAATGGTCCGAGGACGAGTGGGCCACATCGGTGCGATTTCACGCTTCGCTCGATTTCCGTGGATCTCCACGGAGACCGCTAAATCCTTCTGTACATTTGTAAAAGGAAAACTGGCATGGCGGGAAACGGAGGCTGGGGCGGGGTGCAAGTCGAGCCGAGCCAAGCCAGGCAGAGGCAAAGCCAAAGCCCACGACAAAGCCCAGCCAAAACCAAAGCCAGGCCAAAGCCAAAGCCGCAGCCAAAGCAATCCAGGCCAAAACCAAGCCAAACCAAACCGTGAGGCAAGCCCAAAAAAAGCGCAAAAGCCAAGCCAAGCCAAGTCAAGCCAAGCCGCACCAAAAGCCAAAGGCTCAAGGCGCAAGGCCCGAGGCAACAGGCAGGCCGCACCAAAGCCAAGCCACGCCTAAGAAAACAAAATAGAATTTTGAAAACATTGTGGAGCTTGAGAGCTTGAATGACTCCAGGGTTCACGATTCCCGAAATCCCGACCAAGAAACAGCAAGCCAGCCTTGCACCGCCATATCCTCTAAGCCCAAAGCACGGGACTGGGGCTGGCTTCTGGTCCTCCAAGAAGCCGGACAACTTGTCAAGCAAACCTCACTGGCTTTTGGTTGGAGTGACGTATAAGAACTCACAAGTGATATGTCTGGTTACCAACCCCTTCCCCCGCCCCCTACTTATTGAGTAGGGAATGAAAGCAAGCGGTAGTAACGCAGTGTAGTAACGATAAGCATCCCTCATTCCTGTCTCTTCAGGCCCTAAACACGAAGCAGGAGATTCGGGCTGTATCGCTTTAGCCCTTTGGGTTGGGCCAGAACAGGTGCCTCTCCAGCCGCGGCATTTGATTCATGTGGGTTGGCTTTGATTCTGAAGGGTTTTAAGGGCTTGGAACTTCGGTTTGGGAGACCCTTCCGCCGGAGCTTTCGGGACCTAAGCCACCTTATGTGGGTTAGGAGGCTCGAAGTTGCCATGAAGCTTCAAAAGTGCAAAAGGCCGGGAGGCCTTTGATGGAGAAGCTCCAGCATTCCCACAAGATGCAAACCTGGGCCATGGCTTCATGCAAGGCTTTCAAGGGCTCAGGAGGTGGTTTTGGGGTTATAGGGTCTAGGTTTTGGGAGCTAGTTTACGGCTTCGGCCCGGAAACTCCTTCCATCGCCTCTTCGACTCACTGTTTGTGTAGTGAGTAGTATTGATGCACACCTTTCTCAAAGGATAGAATTGTCAATAACAGACTTGCTGAATGTGTCGTGTTTCACATCTCTTGCCTTTACACATGTTTGCCAAGCAGAAAATTGCCCTGCCACAGCCCTCCATTTTCCATACAAAGCCCCAAATGCCTCAAACTCCTCCCTACCTCCCCCTCCCTCCCCCCTTCAAAAAAAATGAACCGCCTTGTACTTCTTCCCAAGGAAGTCCGTCACCTTCTGGAGTGGCCCGACGAAGGAGTTCACCCTGAAAGCGGCTTGGCGAGTGTCTGGTTTTTGAAGAATTTGCGGAGGGTTGAGGGTGGCAAAAACCAACCCAACACCAAACAAACCACGGAAACCGTTCGTTCAATGGGGCTTACTGCGTATCGTGAGGTTTATTGCGGCTGCACCGCGCGGTCATCCGCCGAAGCCCCAAGCCCAAAGAGACAAACAAAAACTAAACGTTCAACATTGGTAGCAACGAAAAAAACACTGGGTGCTGATCAAGGAATCAAGGCGCGCGTTGGAGACCCACTTGAAGCCATCGACCAGCGGCCTAGCGAACCATTCCTCCACCCAGACGGTGACCGTCTTGATGAACCTTGTCTTTCGCGTTTAGGAATTTCTAAGTTTGCCCGCCTCCAACAGCAGACTGAGGTTTTGGTCAAGGGCCAGGACGTTGTGATGTTGAACGTTAAGCCACTTTTGCTACTGCGGAGAAAAAGTCCTTTACGAGCGTGTGCAAGTCCCAGCCGTGGCGGTGTGTCTTTGCGACGCTTCTCTGTTATACAGAATACCGAGGTATCTGTACTTTCGGTTGCTTTTTGAACTACTAAGCTTCTAGAAATACTATGGGAAACAAAGATTAAGACAAAGAGCTAAGCTAAGGTAAGAGATAAGCTTTGAAGCGTGTATTCATGGGAGACAGAGGAGGTGGGGACCATAGACCTGAGCGGGGGCAATTTTTATTTGTTTCCCCCCCCCCCACTTCCCTCAGGCCCAGGCAACCATTCTCTCCCCTCTCCCTCCTCAGGCGAACCGGAAGAGAAAAGGTTTGGATACGCTCATGATGTGAAGCATCCACTATCTCCACACCTATTCTTTTCTTCACCTCTTTATTTCTTCCTAGCTTCAGAATTCTTTGGAGGCCTCGTCCTTAGCTTCTTTAAAGTCTAGAGTCTTATGAAATCGTACGTTCTGTTTTTCTTAGTTTCCCACCTAACCCTTAAGTAGAACAACGTCTTGTAAATACATACGGGCCATAAGGGAGTGATCTGAAAAATGAGGCTGATCTAAAGGGAAAAGGTGTAGAGAAGCCCATAATACGAAGCATCAACTTTATCCATAGAGTATCTATGCATGTAAATATGTATCGTTTTGAAAGAGCCGTGGGATATGGAATCTTGAAGCTAAATTCTGAAACTATGGAATAGGAATGCCAGGCCCAAACATCCTAGAACTTTGGATTGTGGCATGCTGGGCTCTAAAAATCTTGTAAGCTGTGAATCTGGGTTGTTAAAGATCGTATGTTGGGCCAAACACTACGAATAATACTACCTATCAAAAAACTTATATATATATATATATATACATATATATACATATATTTGTATATACACACATACATACATACATACATACATACATACATACATACATACATACATACATACATACATACATACATACATACATACATACATACATACAGACAAAAAAAAAATATATATATATATATATGAAAATCAATGATGCGAGCACTTTCTGGAAGCACAGCAGTCAGGAGTTCCTGAAATGACAAAAACAACTTCTGCCAGCTGCTCACAGTATTCCCTTTGGCGATGGCGGTCTATCTCGGTAGTCTGGTGTAGTCCCGCATACAGACGTATAGATAGACGCGTACGACCATTTTACATAGGTACTTCCTTGCGAAAAGAACTGGTTTTTGTGAACAACTTCCCGCCAATACGAATAAAACATGAGACGATGTGATCGAGTTCTTCATTTAAAAAAATGCATGTAACATGGGCTGTGAAAGTGGCGCCTGGACAACGGCATGTTGGAGCCCAATATAGTTTGGAATCCTAGACTGTGGCATGCCGAGCCCCAGAACTTGATGTCAGGCCCATGCAGCTTAGAACCTTGGAATATGGAATGTCGAGCCCCAGAAATTGAAATTTAGACTGTGGTATGAGGCCGCCGAAAGTGTATAGGCTGGGGCTGGGCTCCCACTTCCGGGAATCCATAAGGAGAAACATTTCTAGCGAAACCGATAAGACCAAGAGTATTCACGACACTAGCACTGCGAATAATGTCAATACTACCTATCATATTAATGCGAATGGTCTGCGAATGACAGAACTAGCAACCATAATCTTGCGAATACAAAATATCTTACATGCCTTGTAGGCCTCTACCTTTTCGTTTAGGTGCTCATTATACCTGAACATATATTCCTAAGTATCCAGAAACAAGTCTTCCTTGGTACCCAGAAAATCACACATGCCACAACGACCCCAATATACACATGTGTATGTATATATGTATACATGCATATACAAGGGTTGGCATTCTCAAATTTTGGATGCCAGCACTCAGCACTCCACATTCCATAACGCCATGTTTTTGGGCGCTGACATACTCACTCCATGACTCTATTGTTTTGTGGGGGAGGGACTCCAACGGAGCATAATGGCCATCATTACCATTGCATGTTCAGTCATATCAAACACATCGTGAGCTTCACTATCTTTAATCATACATTACATACCTCTGTTGCATTTAATTTAGTCATGCCAAGTCATACCATTTCTCATACCACTAGAGAAAATCCCGGCGTGCATAGCTCGCCGTCTTCAATGGTTAGTACTATGTATCCTCCGACTACACGTCAAAAAGGACACGTACCGATCATATAGAACTGCAGTGAGCATAGCCTCGGGCGAGCTGCAAAGAAATATTTCCGCAACAAGTCCAGAAGAAATAGACAGAGAGAAGAACAATGACACAACAAAAAAGCACAAAAATGATAAGCAGAGAGGATTTTTCAGAATGCCAAGGTCTAGCCATTTCTGCAATGAACGCCCTTTCCCGAAGGCCTACTACAACACCATGAATACATGTGCAACGCCCGCATTCCCCGAAAGAAACGCTCTACCACGAAGCACGCAAACGTCGATTCCAGCACCAAGCGTGTACTACAAATCAATGAAAACCCAGCCGGCTCACGGAAACGGCGATTCCAGTACTGAGCCAGTACGACAAATCAATGAAAAACCACTCCAGTAAAAGCTTGTACTACAATTACGACAACTCAATGAAAATCCGGAGCTGACGGACGCATCGATTGCGGTACTAAGCTTGTACTACAAGTCAAACTCTATGAAAACCCAACCGGCTCATGGAAACGTCGATTCCAGTACTAGACTTGTATTGCAAAGCACTGAAAACCAGCCAGCTCACGGAAACATCGATTCCAGTGTACTTCAAATCCATGAAAATCCAGCCGACTCATGGAAATGTCGATTCCAAAACGAAGCGTGTACTACAAATCAACATGCCACCAGCCAGAGCCCCTAAATCCACGTGCAAACGCAAAAAGAGACGCCTACTGGATGCCACCCTACTGTCCCTTCACCCTCAGAGCCACTCCAGGGACCGAGTGGCCCGAGGGGCATCCCAGCGAAGGATACCGCCTGGGAAATGACTTTCAGAACCGGCTTCAGGATCCTCACCGAAGGAGGCATCCATGCGCAGACCTCTGGCGGTTAAAGTTGCGCGCTCGTTCGGTGGCTTGTCAGCCATCTACTCATCGATCAGAATCACAGAGGTTTGCGCAGCATCGTCGTTTGCATGCCATGGATTTTCGGGTCGAGTGTGGATCTCCGGAATGAAAAGAAGAAGCTGCAGAGCGGCTGATACTTGGCATTCCTAGAAATCTCGATGCATGGAAGGCTGCCGTGTCTAGGTGGGTGCGTAGCTGGCAGATGCAGCCTCTTGAAGCACTGCAATGACGGTGCCTGAAGGACCTGTCCGATCATCTCCGCAGGCTGCACCGGCGGGAAGGCGGCGATCAGCCCAACATCAAAGCCTGTCCTGAGAGCCGTAGGCCGTAGGTGGAAGGAGGCTTGGGTACAATCCCAGAGATCAACGAGCGCTAGCGGCACACTGAACGAAGCTGCCCGGGGATGCCCGGGGAAGGGGGAGCTGTTCTAGCGCCCTTTGCCACGACAGGAAGATAGCTTGGCCCAGCGTCAGAAGATAGTCCATCTTGTTGACAATGCTGCTCACGAATTGGCACAATCCTTGCGCCAAGTCCACTCACTCTCTCTCTCTCTCTCTCTCTCTCTCTCTCTCTCTCGAGCCCGTGCACGGATGAACATCGGGGCGCAGGACGGTTGCAGGAGGAGCAGTAGGAGTAGTAGGAATAATTGGAGTAGTCGGAGTAGAGGAGTAGTAGGAGAAGTAATGGTAGTAGTCGAAGTTTTCAGGGCAAGGGGCCAGTGTGTCGGGGGTCGGGGCATCATTGAACCAGGGCACCATTGGTCGGTGGCAGGAGAACGTCTCGGATGAAGTCCTTCACGTGAAAGCACAAAGGGCCGTTCAGTCACTACTAAAAGGAAGCTGCATCAATCAGTGTTAACGTGGCTCACCTCAAGAGATTTCAAGCACACCATCGCCCTGGATTTTGTGGTGAGAATCTCGGCACTCGAGGCATCATCTGCAGGTCGTGAAGATTCGAGCCTGGCGCGTCCTTTTGGGACCTGCCGCCCCTGAGCAAAGCGACGCCTCCCAACTGTTACCTTGCCACTAGCCAATAAAGTCGTCAAGCATGGCAGTACGAGTTGTGGGGGAATGTTGCGGGGTGAATTCGTCCTGGATCTTCTTGAACTGTTTTTCCAGCTGCTTTCTGACCTTTCAGCGAGCAAATCGAGCAAAAAGGCCTCGTCATGCCTCGTCCTCAAGAGGAAAAAACCTGGAGAATGCGTAGCTCGGGATGTGTGAGGCCCCTGTCGGGCAACATTGAAGCAAAAATGAAGAGCCGGGAACTAGCAAGGCATAGAGCAAGGCATACCCCTGACAAAGCTTTGGAACTAAAGCCCTGTGTCTTCGTGGCAAGTCGCATTCTTAATGGGCTTGTCCAAAAACTTTCCTGCAGCAGTGAGCATCGCGGGGTGCCTAATTTGACAATAAGCCCTAAATTCGACAACTCTGACTTCAGCATGTCTTGTTCTACCTGTTCAAGACTGGCTTCGGGTGGTAAAGGATCTACCCACTCACCGGAACCCAAAGCCATTAAATTCCAATCTACCGTCCCGTCTGCTTAGCTGCGGCGACGTCTAGAATCTAGCAGCCTTGAACTGACATGCACGACTGCAAAGCTTGCTTCTATTCAACAGCAGTGTGCGTAATTTCTGTGTTGTGAGCCAGAGTAGAAACTTTGGAGCCAGTGCGGGTGCCACCTTCTCAAGGGTGTACCCTGGTGAGGTTGGGGAATCGTGACTGCTGAGGGCACCTGTGCTAGCGCTGATCAGAGTCCACCCCTCGCCACTACAAAAAACATCAAACTCTTGCACCGCCCATCATCCTCGGTTGCCGGTACCTCCAGCGTTCTTCTCAACCCGAATCGCCTAATCATTCCTCATACAGCCCAGCATCCGATTTTGCCGACCATGGGAAGCGGCTTCCTCGGCTGCGAACCCCAATGGATGTCAGGCGGTGCAAATGGGCCCTGCATCCAGCCGACGACTGGGCACTCCCAAAGCAATCAAGGAATGCAAGAAAGTGGGATCTTCACACCAGATAGACCAACCCCACCTATGCCTCACCGAACATACACGAAACAAAGAAGATCTAAGACAGCGTTAGACAATCGTCATGAAAAAACTCAAAGGCACAAAGAGGGCCATGAACTCTCGTCAGCCGTGGACAGCGGTCATCCCTATAGCCTGCCCAAGAACCCTGACCCAAAGGAAATGCCAGGACACACGAGCTTCACGAAGATGTGGATGGTTTCTGCTGCGTCCATGATCTCATCCAAGAAGTCGATAACATCCTTCCGGCTGCAAAGTCTACCACGCGCGGACGTGCCTACCACAACGTAGTCGGTAGGCGGTGAACCCGCTCGCGGTACCACTGCACGCTACGATGGCGAAGTTAACCGTAAGAGCGAGAAGAAGTTCAGCTGCGCATATCATGTGCGCCAGCTGAGCCTACCTGGAACCGTAGAAGCCCTAAACCTATTTGCATCTAATTCGCCTTTTTGCACCCTGCCCTTCTGCACACTAATAAAGCTCCAAGATCACGAAACGAGGATGTCTCTCAGGTGCTGGCATTCCCGAGGTCTTCCACTGTGCAGGCCAAACCGCCCGCTCTTGAGAAGACATCGACCTGACAGAGAAGAGCAGCGTTTTTGCATTCGGGCTCCTTCGGGTGTTGCCAGAAACTGCCCAAGCACATCCTACACGTTCATTAGGGCTTCTGGTAGTTTAACACCTTTCTTCTCTTCTCTTCCGAGACACAGATGGACGTTACAGGATTTACAGACGCGGACGCCACCGGAACCAGCTGCCCTACTACACAGAAGGGGAATCCCCTTCTTGGGTCTTCGGGCCGGTGGCATACGCTGTATTTTGATACGGCTCAGGGGGCACGCTCGTGGAGCTGTGGTGTATGTCTGGTGCTTCTGCTTGTTATCCCGAACTTGATCCTAGATGGCGGACAGACACTGCTGGAATCGTGCAAGGTTTTGGAGCTGTGCGGCAAGCAAAGTCCAAGTAAGGGCGGGCGAAGTGTTTGAACAGTTTGAACCCTTTGTGGGAAACGGCCTCTGCGAAAGACCAGGCGAAAGTATTGAGGGTTTAGCCGATGGGCTCTACTGCAGTACCCATAGAAGGAGTGAAAGCGCACCATTCCGCCGCTTTGCAGCCGGGAGGCCATATCCGACTTCCGGATATCCGTCAGGTACTCCTCACATGTTGCTGAACGAAATGTTAAGGGCCTGTCGGCTCGTGGCTCAGATCTCATATATGGATTGTACAAGCTTCAACCTGACAGACAACTGGACCATTCATCGCCCTTAAGGCTCTGTTTGTGAGGGAGGATACGCAAAAGCAACCTGCGACCACTGAACCCTTGCTGCAGCTGGGGGAGGCTTGTGGCAATTTTACGTGGACCTCAGAGAAGCACGGGCAAACGCGACACCTAGCAATCAGAGTCTGATGTCAACTCACCAACGTGTTCTCACAACCTAAACCCTAAATCATCCTAAACCCTTCAGCCTTAAGCTTAAACTTAAACTCTATGCGTAACCTTTACTTTTCTTCTGCCACAACTCTCTAACCCAAACCCGGGTATAACCCCCAAACCTAAAACAAAATGTGAGCAGACCACAAGATTCAAGAAGTCAAGGCCTTTGGGCTGAATGATCCCTTTGACACCACGGTGCGCCTTGGACTTGACGATGGACTGCTGGAACTGCTCTTGATTTTCATCTTAGCTCCGGGACGGACAGAAGCTTGCAATAAACATGACTCACAAAACCACATGGTCGCGAGGGTTGAATTTTGAGACGGCGAAGGCCGGAGGGAGCTCTAGGGTTCAGGGCGTAGGGAGGGGTGGGCAGCAGTGATGCACAGAAGCCTTGGGGAAGGCTACTCCGAATCCTTCAAGCACAGTCCAACAGAAAACGCACATGCTTGCGCAACTCCTCTTCCTACACTCCTGCATTGTCCTACACAATAAACTTACATACCTCAAACCCCTTCGTATAAGCCCCAAGCCCAAACCCTCACTTGCCAAAAGTCACCCTTTGAGGCCGGGTGCCGGTACAAATCCCAGCCCCTGTGGGGAGGCCGAAAGCCATGGCTCCGCCCATCAGCTGGCCCTTGTTGGCCTCCGAGTTTCTGGGTGGGCTGGTTCAGGGTGCGCAAGGGGTAGAAACATCGCAATAGCAGAAAAGCAAAGTCAACGAAATGCAAACTACATCTGGGCTCAGTCTGTGTGTGTGTGTGTGTGCCACCTGAATTCTCCCCACACAGGGGCGCAACCACGATAAGGAAACAAAGTGGAACCGGCAAGAATCTGAGGAACTACTACTGCAAACCCCAAAAACCGACAATGCAAGATTTCTGTTTAGGATTGAGGTGATTTTGTGAAAGCCCCCAGGGTTTCAAGCTCATTCAGGGCGGCTGTAAACTTTCAAGATGCAGGGCTTTTCTGGACAACACCAGCAACTTCGGGGCTTCAAACGCCCACATCCGTCCAAATAGCTCAAAAGGAATTCAAAAGGTACAGGAGCTAGCCCGCCCTGGCCCCCAATAGCTTTGAGCTCACCCGCCTTCGCCCCCGTACCTTTTTTCAGCATCTGGCAGCTCCAAAAGAGGCAGGCCCTTGGAAGCTCCAGAACAAGTACACAGGAGCTGAATGTACCTTTTTGGAATTGAACTCCGCCAAAAAACGCGGGAGCTCGCCCACCCTTCTTGAGCTCCACGAAAGCTCGCCCCCCTGCGTCGCAACCTGTTTGAAAAGATTTTGGAAGGGCCTTGCTTGCAATTTTCGGCCCAAAAGCTGGAAGCTCACGGGAGCTCTCACCCCCCATCGCTCTTGTACCTGGCAGCTGCAAAGACGCTCACCCCCCCTTTGACCCCCCGTACCTCTTTGAGAGCCCTTGACCCCGCCCCCACCTTGCCCCCCTGTACCCCTTTTCGAAGTGCACGTTTCCAGGATTTTCCAGGTTTTCCTGCCTTCGGAAGCATCCCAAGTCAGTAAGCAGACTCCAGATGACTCCAGCATACAGACCTCTGCACGGGCCCGCTTTCTACCACAAACCCCCCAAACCCACAAGTGTCTGGCCTCGAAAAGGCTGTTGACCAAGTTATCCTCGTCGCCTAGATCCTCCATGTGGGCACCTCCAATCTCAGAATCTACTTCTCATGGATCCACAGCCCTCAACCCGAACTCTACAAAGCATGCATGGCCAGCATCTTCCCTCAGCCTTTGTTTGCTTCATCTGCGAGGCCCTCGAGGTCAATGCCGTCCAATTTCCTAAGTAGGAGGGGCCAAAGGTTCGAACTCTATTTACAAATAACTTATATAACATTCTAGAACCCCAAAATACGTAAGTCCTCAGCCCCGATCTTGGGCTTCTGTTTGCGAGGGACTTGGGCCTTCGTCACTTCGGAACTTGGTCGGACCTGGTTCTTTGTTTAAGCTTTCGGAGGGTCCGGTAGAGTCGCAAGGGCCCTTGGGGGGTGCCTAACCTCCCAAATCCAACAAGTCTGAATTTTCAACGCCCACGGCAAGCAATTCTGCTAGAGCCTGGTCTTCCCAAACTTGCAAAACTGGGGGGCATGGCCTGAAACTCGGGTCCCCTTGTCCGACGCCCTGTAAGGCTCCGGCGGCCCGGAGAAGCTGGCAAGGCCGTCGAGCCCGGGGCCCGTCATCATCTGACCAAATGGGCTTGTAGGATTTTATTGCTTAAAGGCCAAAGGTCACCACAAGGTTTTATTGTAGGACTGTAGGAGCAGGCTTGGGCACGTAAAATTGGGTGATCTTTGGGGGTACATGCTTCCGCGCATTCAAGGAGCTTTCACATGACTAAATCCTGCTTTCCTTGACTCCCCTCGCCCCTGCTCGCTCTTTTGGACCGTTTTTTCCTTGGAAGCTGTCATGTTTACATCGCGTGGAGAGTTTCCGGCATTGCCTGCTTCTGATACTTGGCTATGATGTCGGAGACAACTTAAACGCACTGGGTGCTTGAAGCCTGTGCCTTGAGGCCCAGCACTTCGTTTCTATTTTGGAAATAGCATCGGATGACTTTTCTTCGTTTCAGCGCCTTGCCCTTGTGTCCCTTGGGCGCCGGCTTTGTTTTAACTTTCATTGTGATTTTTCGCACCTTTCGCACGCTTGTCTGGTGGGGCCCCCTGGGACCCGGAGCATCCTTCGGTGTCGAGGCACAACACACGTGTGTAACTATGAAAGAATCTGAGATTAGCTAAAAAGCCTGACCTTGACACGCAAGCAGTGAGCATATCCCCCTCACGACACAAGCAGGAGTGCATAAGCTATCATAAACTGTGCTTGGTGTAACAATGTCGTGCATCCTGCCGTTCTTCGAGCCAAGCCCTATGGCGCTTTGAGGGCTTACCTGAAAGTAAAGGCGTTTGCTACTGTTGGGTGCATTCTCAATACAAACTTGGGTGACTCAGCGCGACAAACACATTCACCAAAAAACAAAAGCAAGAGGCAGCATCCGCCCAGCGAGAAAAAGAACAGCAGTCAGCGGCATGCGCGACACGAACCCCAAGATTTGCAGGCTTCATGCGATGCAATGACGGGTATCAGCGAGCCAGATCTTCCTGAAACCAAAGCGACTGTCCAGGGTACTGAAACGGTGAACCCCTGAACCTGATTCAGCCCTCCCTCCCACCGTATCCATGTTGTCGAAGACGGATCCTGCCGTCGGCAAGCCCGGCGTGCCCGGCACCTGGGCCGTCATTTAAGGTCGTTTTACATTACGGGGTCAGGGACTTGTGCAAAAGGCCATCGAAGAAGCATCAACGGCACATTTTCGCGTGCCCTCAAACGGTCTGACTCTGGTGAAGACGGGCGAAACCTAGACTTCCTGAAAAACGCACATGTTTGTCGTTTGACACGGCCCAAACCAGAAAGCACAGGCGGCAGCCTGGCAGCCAGCTAAGACAGAAGACCCATGGACCTGACCTGTCGACCCGTCCTTCAGGTACTCCTTGCCCCTCACCCTATGAGGCCCCAGCATCGACGCTGCTGGGAAGCCATCCAGTCAAGACGTTGGAGAAAGAATCGCCGCCCAACGTGTCCTACGCAAATGCGTCCGGCTTGCATGGACCTACACGTACGGATTCCGGTACTGACCTGTGGAAACTGAGATTCTGTGACGAACATGACTATCACCAACACCGCCCCACACTTGCACAAGGCAGGCAAGGCTTCGGTGGGGTCCTCTGTGCGATACTTTCATGTCACTTGTGGACATGACTTTGACTAAGGTTTTCGAGACCGAAATGTTAGCCACCGCGTCTTCTCATCAGGTAGGCCGGGACTACAGCTTTCACTTTCCTCTTTTACTCTATTCCTGCTGCGTCCGACCATTGGGGTAAACCTGCAGGATCGGGTGTTGCACAGGGATGTTCCGTTGCGCCGCCTGGGTCTCGGGATCCTCGCCCTCAACACCCCCTCCCCCCCCCCCTGGCAGTCGTCTCTTGAACCGCTTGCGGGCCAGTTGGCATTGTTGTCCATCTCCCGCTCCCGTGTCATCTCCGCCCTCACATTCCATACATTGCATGGAATGGTTCTCATCATCATCGTCTTCACTACGAGCGATGTCGTCGTCCGGGCCTTCGAGATCATCCGACCCCTCAGAGTTATGCGTTTCCAGCAACCCTCCCACCCCCGGTTCTGTGTCCTTGGGTGGATTTGTATGCAGACGCTTGTATGTCAGGCGCGGGCTTGGTTTAGGGCCTTGGGCGAATTCACGCAAATGCCTTAGCCATAAGATGTCATCAGCCCAATTAACCTCAACTTCCTGTCCTCGTCCGGATTGTCATCACCGCCAATGCCCGTCAACTCCGAAATGAGCTGAAATGCCATGGAAATCAGGCGCTTCTTCAGCTCCTGAAATGTTGGATTGGGAGGCTGTGATGAGGGTTTGGCTTTAACTTTTGCGTCAGCTTGGCGGCCTCCAAGAAACCCGAGCCTTGTAGTGGCTTGAGGCGGCTTGAGTGTTTAGGAGGTTTAGGCAGGGTTGCCCACCAACTGCAGGGAAGCTTCAGCCTTGACCACTTGCGCAGCTTCAAGCATCATGCGCTTGCCTTGGGGCCCAGATGGGCTTCGACAGACGAAACACGAACATCCCTGTCTCAAAGACAGGCTGCAGCGGCTACAGTACAGCTCATTCTGTCCGGATCGTGTTATTTCTGGGGTCTCGCCCCGTCTTTTCTCCAGTCCACTCACATCGTCATGGCGCCGCGCTGTGTCATCAGCGGTGCTCCAGCCAGTCGGACAGTCTGTGCTCAAATTTTGCGTGCTGTCAAAAAGTCCCAGATCCGATGCTGGCGTCCTCTCACCTATCACTTGGAAAGCTATGAACTGCAGGGGACACTGTGCCCTCATTGATGATAGCTCCAAGCATTGGATCAGACCGTAAACCATGGAAAGACCCGGAACCAACTGTTGAAGTGCCAGGCGGCCCATAGCCCTCAGCTGGACCGTGATGGCATGCATGAGCGCCTTCTTAAGTCTGGGGGTGTCCATAGTGCGGATCATGTCAACGTACTGCGTCGCCACCTGTTGCAGAGGTCTCGATCTCCGGAAGACCGAAGCTCCCGAATTCAGGTTTCTTGGCCTTCAGGCGGTTTCTTGAGCGTCGTGTTCATCGAGTGTTTGGAGGCCCAATTTCACGAACTGCCACCTGAGGGCAAGTTCCCACAGCAACTATATTCCTGACGACACCTACCAAGATTCCCAGACGCAGCGTACCTGGGCGCAGCGGGGGGGGGACCCGCCACCTTGTTAAAAGCCGTCGTCGCACCAGCTTTGTTTCAAGTCCTGGTTGCGCGATGTTGCGCGGCAATGCGCGAGCCACCTGCCCACTTTAGGAATATGACATATGACATATGACGTATAGACCTTGTCGAGTGAGCCTTGTCGCAAACCCAGTTTTTGCTGCAAGCCTTGTCGCGCCGTGCCCGCGCGCGCCTAGTACCCAAGCCCGAACATTTTCTGACCGCTTCCTATTCGGGGGCCGAACAACACGGGCAACACTGGGTCAAGTAAAACCGTGCAGCTTGCGCTTCCTTCAAACAAACACAGAAGGATGTTGGTTGTCGATAGCATTTCTCTTGAGGGTGCAGAATGGTACAGATGTGGGGCAGTCAGAAATCATGCCTGCGCCTTATTTAAGTCACCGTGCAAAGTTTAGGTGCAAGATTGTGCAAGAAAGCTGAAACGCACTTGTGGACGCGGCGGGCCAAAGCTTGTCAAGGCTTCGCAGCTCTGGACTCAATGCACCCTCGACCTGAAAATGCCCCAGGCACGGTCACATCAGAATTGGGCGGAGCAGTTGAGCCTCGAGCATCTTTGGCATCTCCTCCGAGAAGCCCTGCCGCGAGCAGCTGAGACTTGCTTCTGCGTGTACTCAGCTTGTGGCGTGGCACACCGAACTTCTCTGGCAAGTGACACCCAAACGGGATGTGAGAAAGAACTTACAAGGACGCGTCGCGCTTATCAGCCTTTTTTGTTTTCTGGGGGACCTGCAGTTCTTGCGAAGTAGCCCAGGACATGACTCAGAAGTTGGGTTTCTGAAGTTTTGCGGCAAGTTGAAGGTTTTTGGGGCACTTTTTGGTTTGGGGCTCTGCCACTGAAGCTGCTGAAAAGGTTTGAGGACCCGTGCCAAACGAGCCTACGCCTGCCCACGCCATCCAATCACCCAACAACTCTCAGGAAGTTTTGCCGACATCACTCGGCTGGGCTTGAAGCTAGGGGGGCCTTCAGCTTGATGAAGAGGTCGCTGTTCACCGTTGCCATCAAATCGTCTTTCACCTGCTCGCCCAATGCCACCCAACATTCGGTGTGATGCTTTCAGCCCGAGAATTACGTTGATGCATCACGGTGACTCATGCTGCACCTGCAAACCACTATGAGATGTCATGTACGTCGGTCATCCCCACCCCAAGGCCCCAAGGCTAGCCCATGCGCGAGCCGTGTACATCTCGAATACAAGCAAATATTGCTATCAGGATGCTTCACCGCAGGACTCTCCAGGTTGTTCTGCGATAATGAGCACTGCAAGCATTCTCTGAACGAACTCTTTGGGGGTCACTCCAGTCACTCTAGGGAGACTTGGCGGGGGCAGCGGGGGCCGGCGCCAGCTGGCAGTTTAAGCAACAAACAGCCTGTAAAAGATGTGGGAACAAACACACACACACACACACACAAGCACAAGAAGCTGACCTAGAGACTGCCTGAAAGCACCCTGAAGCCCAAAGGTGCGCATCTAGTCATCGGATACGGCACTGACATGAGATCGTTGATGCCCAGCTCAACCTGAAGCTCTTCGATTTTCAACCTTGACAGGTTGGATTTGGGCCAAGGCTCTGGGATGGGTCCCAGGCTGCGGTCGTGAGCACAGGAGCTCTTGCGCTACTCTTACAGGGACCTGAGGGACTTCAGGGATTGTAGGAGAAGCACCAAAACGAGAGGTTGCCCAAAAAGGTCAACAACTCCCAAACCCTCAAACTCAGCCCCACAAAGCCCCCTCACTCTAAAACCCTATCAATTTGAGGTATGTGCTATGGCCGGTCATTCGTCCGAAGGGTCCGCACACATCTTGAAAAAAAAACGAGCCCCAAAAAACTCTAGACCCGTCAGCTCACCAAACGATTTCGGCAAGCAGTCGACTCAAGGCATCCCAGCCTGATGTCCTTTTCCATCTTCAGCTTCATCTCATCAACCCTGAGGTTCACCTGAAGGTCGAAACTTCGATCCTTTAGACTTCGCTGTTGTTGAAAGGGGAGGGGGGGGAGGGGGCTTTGGGGCTTTGGGGCTTGTGGTAAATATGGGTAGCATTCCATGTGCGAGGCGAAGAAGTTGCTGACACATTGAATGAGAGCAGCATTGTAACTGAAGTAATCTACCTACCTCTCTCTCCCTCTCTCTTCTTTCTCTTCTCTCTCTTCTCTCTCTCTTCTCTCTCTTCTCTCTCCTCTCTCTCCTCTCTCTCCTCTCTCTCCTCTCTCTCCTCTCTCTCCTCTCTCTCCTCTCTCT